GTCTCTCATACTTTGGACATATTGTCAGGAAGGCCCAGTCACTGGAGACGGCTTTCATGTTTGGTACGGTGGAGGGTCAGAGAAAAAGAGGAAGACTGCCAACAAGATGGATTGGCCAAGTGGCAGCATTGATGGACTCAATCGTGGCAACCAACAGTAGTAAAGTTGATCCAGGATCAGGTAGTGTTTCGTTCTGCTGTGCATAAGGTTTCTGTGGGTCGGTACTGACTCGATGGCACCTAACAACAACAACACAACTACACTAACGTGTAACACATTTACATATGTATTTCTATATATTTTTAAAATTGTGAGTTCCCTCCTAAAACCTCAAATTCTAATAAAACACTGCAAGTTAATTGTAGTTTTCTCCCTCATCTTTATTTCTAACGCCCTTTGTCTTCAGTAAGAAATTTTGACCCAGGTATTTTCGATATATTTACTTCATAGATCAAACCTCTCCCTTTCCCCCCATGTTGCTGTTGTTAAGTGCCATCAAGTCCAGTGCCTATGCTACAATGTCACACCAGGACTCCTTTCCCCCCAAAGTCTTTGTTATTGCCTTATTCAGGGTATGAGTTCCTGTTGAGCAACCACTGCTGTCTCCACTCATTCTGTCCCTGCATCCCAGCATAAATACTTGCCTTGCTTTGTCCGCCTATTGGTCATTTAAGTGAATACTTCTAAGAAGAGGGTGGGGAAGTTCTACATATCATATTTGCTTACTTGAGACATTAGCAAGCTTTGAGAATTCTTTTCTGGGGACTCTTGAAATATTATTAGGGACCCAATAACTGGAATTGTCTCTTTCTTGTGTCGCTCATCATTCTAGGATGGCTTTATGACTTGGTCATATTATGGCTCTTTGACTTGGTCAGTAATGTACATCGTTAATTCCTGGCAGATTTCTCTGCTTGAATTAATGCATATACCAGTTAATATAAGCCAACTGACATATTTATAGGAGCTCTGGTGGCACTGTGTTAGACTGCTAACTGAAAGGTCAGAGTTGGAAGACACCAGCCAACCACTCCACAGTAGAAAGATGAGGCTGTCTGCTCCTGTAAAGATTTACATTTTCATTAACCCCATGGACCGGTCCTAGTCTGTCCTACTGGTTTGTGATAAGTTGGAGTCGACTCAGTGGTAGTCGGTTTGGTTTGATTTTGACATAGTTGTGTAGATCTT